CTTTTTGTCTCCTCCGTAGTTGTCAGGATGGTCTCCAAATGGAGGCGTGGGTTCAAATCCCACTCCTGACACAGTTTTGAACTGTGATTGTCGGCATAACAACAAGTTTAACTCTTTTTTTTCTTTTGGACGCAATTTAAAGCAGCAGAGTTGGTATACAGAGTATTTTGAATCCGCCAACACTGGTGCAAAATCATTTTATGCAGCAAGGGGAAATTCTTACCAATAGTTAGTAAACACATAATGGAGAGAGAGAAACTTGATGTGGAGCCAATTCATAAAGGTGGTTTTACGATAAAGTGGGTCAAATTAGTGTTACGTATTCTTTTTGTCTCCTCCGTAGTTGTCAGGATGGTCTCCAAATGGAGGCGTGGGTTCAAATCCCACTCCTGACACAGTTTTGAACTGTGATTGTCGGCATAACAACAAGTTTAACTCTTTTTTTTCTTTTGGAAGCAATTTAAAGCAGCAGAGTTGGTATACAGAGTATTTTGAATCCGCCAACACTGGTTGCAAAATCATTTTATGCAGCAAGGGGAAATTCTTACCAATAGTTAGTAAACACACAGAGAGAGACACTTGATGTGGAGCCAAATTCATAAAGGTGGTTTTACGACAAGATAGGTCAAATTAGTGTTACGTATTCTTTTGACACCTCTGTAGTTGTCAGGATGGCCGAGTGGTCTAAGGCGCCAGACTCAAGGATCACTCCTTCCTGATCAAAGGGAATTCTGGTCTCCAAATGGAGGCGTGGGTTCAAATCCCACTCCTGACACAGTTTTGAACTGTGATTGTCGGCATAACAACAAGTTTAACTCTTTTTTTTCTTTTGGACGCAATTTAAAGCAGCAGAGTTGGTATACAGAGTATTTTGAATCCGCCAACACTGGTGCAAAATCATTTTATGCAGCAAGGGGAAATTCTTACCAATAGTTAGTAAACACACAGAGAGAGACACTTGATGTGGAGCCAAATTCATAAAGGTGGTTTTACGATAAAATGGGTCAAATTAGTGTTACGTATTCTTTTTGTCTCCTCCGTAGTTGTCAGGATGGTCTCCAAATGGAGGCGTGGGTTCAAATCCCACTCCTGACACAGTTTTGAACTGTGATTGTCGGCATAACAACAAGTTTAACTCTTTTTTTTCTTTTGGAAGCAATTTAAAGCAGCAGAGTTGGTGCAAAATCATTTTATGCAGCAAGGGGAAATTCTTACCAATAGTTAGTAAACACACAGAGAGAGACAATTGATGTGGAGCCAAATTCATAAAGGTGGTTTTACGACAAGATAGGTCAAATTAGTGTTACGTACTTTTTGACACCTCTGTAGTTGTCAGGATGGCCGAGTGGTCTAAGGTGCCAGACTCAAGGATCAACTCCTTCCTGATTAAAGGGAATTCTGGTCTCCAAATGGAGGCGTGGGTTCAAATCCCACTCCTGACACAGTTTTGAACTGTGATTGTCGGCATAACAACAAGTTTAACTCTTTTTTTTCTCTTTTGGAAGCAATTTAAAGCAGCAGAGTTGGTATACAGAGTATTTTGAATCCGCCAACACTGGTGCAAAATCATTTTATGCAGCAAGGGGAAATTCTTACCATTAGTTAGTAAACACACAGAGAGAGACACTTGATGTGGAGCCAAATTCATAAACGTGGTTTTACGATAAATGGGTCAAATTAGTGTTACGTATTCTTTTGTCTCCTCCGTAGTTGTCAGGATGGTCTCCAAATGGAGGCGTGGGTTCAAATCCCACTCCTGACACAGTTTTGAACTGTGATTGTCGGCATAACAACAAGTTTAACTCTTTTTTTTCTTTTGGACGCAATTTAAAGCAGCAGAGTTGGTATACAGAGTATTTTGAATCCGCCAACACTGGTGCAAAATCATTTTATGCAGCAAGGGGAAATTCTTACCAATAGTTAGTAAACACATAATGGAGAGAGAGAAACTTGATGTGGAGCCAATTCATAAAGGTGGTTTTACGATAAAGTGGGTCAAATTAGTGTTACGTATTCTTTTTGTCTCCTCCGTAGTTGTCAGGATGGTCTCCAAATGGAGGCGTGGGTTCAAATCCCACTCCTGACACAGTTTTGAACTGTGATTGTCGGCATAACAACAAGTTTAACTCTTTTTTTTCTTTTGGAAGCAATTTAAAGCAGCAGAGTTGGTATACAGAGTATTTTGAATCCGCCAACACTGGTTGCAAAATCATTTTATGCAGCAAGGGGAAATTCTTACCAATAGTTAGTAAACACACAGAGAGAGACACTTGATGTGGAGCCAAATTCATAAAGGTGGTTTTACGACAAGATAGGTCAAATTAGTGTTACGTATTCTTTTGACACCTCTGTAGTTGTCAGGATGGCCGAGTGGTCTAAGGCGCCAGACTCAAGGATCACTCCTTCCTGATCAAAGGGAATTCTGGTCTCCAAATGGAGGCGTGGGTTCAAATCCCACTCCTGACACAGTTTTGAACTGTGATTGTCGGCATAACAACAAGTTTAACTCTTTTTTTTCTTTTGGACGCAATTTAAAGCAGCAGAGTTGGTATACAGAGTATTTTGAATCCGCCAACACTGGTGCAAAATCATTTTATGCAGCAAGGGGAAATTCTTACCAATAGTTAGTAAACACACAGAGAGAGACACTTGATGTGGAGCCAAATTCATAAAGGTGGTTTTATGATAAAATGGGTCAAATTAGTGTTACGTATTCTTTTTGTCTCCTCCGTAGTTGTCAGGATGGTCTCCAAATGGAGGCGTGGGTTCAAATCCCACTCCTGACACAGTTTTGAACTGTGATTGTCAGCATAACAACAAGTTTAACTCTTTTTTTTCTTTTGGAAGCAATTTAAAGCAGCAGAGTTGGTGCAAAATCATTTTATGCAGCAAGGGGAAATTCTTACCAATAGTTAGTAAACACACAGAGAGAGACACTTGATGTGGAGCCAAATTCATAAAGGTGGTTTTACGACAAGATAGGTCAAATTAGTGTTACGTATTCTTTTGACACCTCTGTAGTTGTCAGGATGGCCGAGTGGTCTAAGGCGCCAGACTCAAGGATCAACTCCTTCCTGATCAAAGGGAATTCTAGTCTCCAAATGGAGGCGTGGGTTCAAATCCCACTCCTGACACAGTTTGAACTGTGATTGTCGGCATAACAACAAGTTTAACTCTTTTTTTCTTCTTTTGGACGCAATTTAAAGCAGCAGAGTTGGTATACAGAGTATTTTGAATCCGCCAACACTGGTGCAAAATCATTTTATGCAGCAAGGGGAAATTCTTACCAATAGTTAGTAAACACACAGAGAGAGACACTTGATGTGGAGCCAAATTCATAAACGTGGTTTTACGATAAAATGGGTCAAATTAGTGTTACGTATTCTTTTTGTCTCCTCCGTAGTTGTCAGGATGGTCTCCAAATGGAGGCGTGGGTTCAAATCCCACTCCTGACACAGTTTTGAACTGTGATTGTCGGCATAACAACAAGTTTAACTCTTTTTTTTCTTTTGGACGCAATTTAAAGCAGCAGAGTTGGTATACAGAGTATTTTGAATCCGCCAACACTGGTGCAAAATCATTTTATGCAGCAAGGGGAAATTCTTACCAATAGTTAGTAAACACATAATGGGAGAGAGAAACTTGATGTGGAGCCAAATTCATAAAGGTGGTTTTACGATAAAGTGGGTCAAATTAGTGTTACGTATTCTTTTTGTCTCCTCCGTAGTTGTCAGGATGGTCTCCAAATGGAGGCGTGGGTTCAAATCCCACTCCTGACACAGTTTTGAACTGTGATTGTCGGCAGAACAACAAGTTTAACTCTTTTTTTTCTTTTGGAAGCAATTTAAAGCAGCAGAGTTGGTGCAAAATCATTTTATGCAGCAAGGGGAAATTCTTACCAATAGTTAGTAAACACACAGAGAGAGACACTTGATGTGGAGCCAAATTCATAAAGGTGGTTTTACGACAAAATGGGTTAAATTAGTGTTACGTATTCTTTTTGTCTCCTCCGTAGTTGTCAGGATGGTCTCCAAATGGAGGCGTGGGTTCAAATCCCACTCCTGACACAGTTTTGAACTGTGATTGTCGGCATAACAGCAAGTTTAACTCTTTTTTTCTTTTGGACGCAATTTAAAGCAGCAGAGTTGGTATACAGAGTATTTTGAATCCGCCAACACTGGTGCAAAATCATTTTATGCAGCAAGGGGAAATTCTTACCAATAGTTAGTAAACACATAATGGAGAGAGAGAAACTTGATGTGGAGCCAGATTCATAAAGGTGGTTTTACGATAAAGTGGGTCAAATTAGTGTTACGTATTCTTTTTGTCTCCTCCGTAGTTGTCAGGATGGTCTCCAAATGGAGGCGTGGGTTCAAATCCCACTCCTGACACAGTTTTGAACTGTGATTGTCGGCATAACAACAAGTTTAACTCTTTTTTTCTTCTTTTGGACGCAATTTAAAGCAGCAGAGTTGGTATACAGAGTATTTTGAATCCGCCAACACTGGTGCAAAATCATTTTATGCAGCAAGGGGAAATTCTTACCAATAGTTAGTAAACACACACAGAGAGAAACTCAGATGGCCGAGTGGTCTAAGGCGCCAGACTCAAGGATCAACTCCTTCCTGATCAAAGGGAATTCTCGTCTCCAAATGGAGGCGTGGGTTCAAATCCCACTCCTGACACAGTTTTGAACTGCAAAGTAAATCTGTGTAAAAAAAGTTCTAAGTAAATTAATTTGGTGAGTAAAATGTCTACAGCTGACAGGAATGATGACCAAAGAAAGAAACCCTCAAAATGAGCTGTACCGCTGTCCAGCTGCCTCACTAATAAAAAGCGTGTGTGTTGAGAGAGTCTTTTGTCATTCAAAACGGCATGTGTCTCCCCCAGTGGGAGGTCTTAGGTCACCATCTGGAGTCTGAAACACACACACACACACTTCTCATTTCTTTTCATGGTTTACCTTATAAATCAGGAATATTTCTCTCTCTGTGCTTTAGGATCAGTCAGTGTGTGACAGGACTTTCTGCGGCGCAGGTCGAGAGTGTGTATCGAGCGACAGAGGAGAGCCGGTCTGTCGCTGTTTACAGGTAAAGCTACTGAATACCTCGTCGTTACACTTGTTCAAACCGACCGGCCTGAACATGTAGCTCAAAGCAGCGCTGTGTAGAGCTGCTAGCTGTAGACTTGTTACTAAAGTATTTAAAGTGGAAACATTCACACAAATAATATTGTTAAACCCTATTTGCATTTTACTGTTTGTAGTAAAACAATACCTGATTTGACTTTGTATCTTTACTGAAGATACTTAAGGTCTTATATATTGGATTTATTTACACTGACTGACCAGAAAAGAAAAAAATGTATGAAAAGGAGTGAGGAAGAGCAAAAACTAATAGAAAGAATAGATTAAGAAATAATGAAGGGACAAAAGGAGGGCAGAAATAAAGACAACAGTGAGAAATTACCACTCCTTATAACTGTATACCTAAAGTCTCATTACCTGTTCCTCTTTATTGATCTGTCATCTGTCTCTCTCTCTAAAATTCAAATGAAATTTGTATAAACATTTATTAGCCTATGTTGCAATGGCAAAAGTACACAGTGTAACACAGTATAATAAAAACACTGATTACCTTGATGATACATAAATAGTCAATAGTAACTGAAAACACATATAATTTATGCATTTGCTCACACATACTGAATTATTACATCCACAAACACATACATTGTTCATCAATAAATTATGTTTTGACCGATCACTAGGCCCTGCAGTGGACATCAGACTGTGCTCTCATAAATCTAGTTTCACACCTTAAGTTTTGTTGTGTAGGCCATTTTTTGGGAAACCTCTGATGATCCCCTCTTTTCTCTGCAGCGGTGTAACATGACAGAGCACTGGGTGTGTGGCAGTAACGGCAGATCCTATATAAACCACTGTGAGCTGCACAGAGACGCCTGCATCACTCAGACCAAGATACATGCAGAGCACAAAGGACACTGTCCGGGTCAGTGCACACGCGACCTTGATCTGGCTTATCTGTGTTAGAGTTAGAAATATTATGCCATAGAAATGTCATTTTACTGCACTCTTGGCCTTAGAAAGAAAGCTTACTAGACAGTTTCAATAAGAGTGCTACCTTTGTAGTGAAAGCTAGTTTGTGAGATAGCCTTGGCTTAAACTTACAAAAACTAAGTTTAGTTAGTTATTTCCCCCCAGGTTTTTTGTAATTGGAAAAATATAAACTTTGATGAACTGACATTTTGGTTAGTCAGTTTATTATTCCACATAATTAAAAAGGCAGCAGCTAAATCAATTTTTAAAAAGTTTGCTAGCTTAGCAGATAGCTCCTATCTCATTTTTTGACTAGTGAATTTCATGTGATTTTTCTGGTTGTGATTCTTTAAATCACATACTTAAATGAATTAAATTGTAAATTAATGTATAATATAAATAGGCTATTGATATAACTCAGACTTAGCTAAACACTTGATTCCTATACGTAAAGCTATGTAAAATATAATAAAGCTAAAGTTTCTGTGTTTTTTTAGGTGTTGTTTGGGTAGAATGAGGGGAAGAATCTTTGTATCTGTTTTAAAGTTTGCCATCCAACCTAAAAAAACTTCCAACCTTTTGTTCTCAACTTCACTTCTGTAGTTACTGCTCTCTGCCTTTGAAGTACAAACAGCTAAAGTTGTGTACAGTCTGTGATTTGAGACAGTGGTCTGTGTGTTTCTATTTGCAGAGAAGCCAACAAAGACAGACGTGAGCCCCAGTAAGTCTGCAGCATTATTACAGACATGTTTTGTTGATTAATCCTTTCCTGTTAATAATTTGTATTAACACTCATGAGTTTAAGGACTGTAGCCTTCCTTTGCCATTTTATTTGCATTAACCATCTTATTTTAAATGTGTAGTCGTGTGTTTCCTGTCTGATCGTGACTGGCTCAGAGAACGAGTGATCCAGTGGATTCAAGAGGAGGTAGAATCGGACAACCTGGCCTCAAATGTGTCCTCAGCCAACGACCTCCTGCAAAAGTATTTCAAAGTCAGAAAACTTTTCACTCCCTCTCACAATCATCAGTTTTTATCCCAGTAGACTAGTTTTACTGACCATGAGCTTAATTTCAAATAACAAAAAATACGAATATATAATAAAAATATTGTTTTTAAGTGTGATATCAGGTGCATATTTTGCATAAAGTAATGAGCCAACAGTACTCCAGCTACTTAAGAATAACTGAAGAAGATATTTAAAATACAACATATTTGACTGAACTATTTGTGTGTTGCAGGCGTATGACAACGGGGATTCTGAGCTCGATTCAAAAGAGTTCCTGAGCTTCCTGAAACATAATGAGACGGCCCTCAACCTCACATACTCTAATACTCTGGAGACTAACTTGCTACTGAGGTATACAATAGTGTGATGTAATAAAATAAACTGTTAATATGTTATGTTATGTTATGAGAATTAGAAAATTTGGAGGGGGGTTAAAGAAGGTCTGTTCAGTGGTGGAAGAAGTACGCAGATCTTTTACGAAGTATATAAAAGCAGTAATACCACTGTGTAAAAATACTCTGCTACAAGTTCAATTCAATTCAATTCAATTTTATTTATATAGCGCCCAATTAACAACAACATTTATCTCACAGTGCTTTTCATTAAAGAGCAGGTCTAGACCGTACTCTGTGATGTTATTTACAGAAGCCCAACAATTCCCAAGTCAAGTAAAGTAAAAGACATGCATCTGAATTTTTTTAAAGTGAAAAGTAAAAGTACTCATTATGCAGAAAGGCACCTTTCTGAATAATTATATTGGATTATAATTATTGATGCATTAATGTTTACATCACATTAATGCTGGGTAGCTTGTGATTATCCCTCCCGGGATCAATAAAGTCTCTTAACCCATAATAATACATTTATTTTATTATATTTGTATTATTTTAAATAAATGTAAATAAAATAAATATAGTAAAGTAAAGTGCCTCAAAATACAGTACTTGAGTAAATGTGCTTAGTTACCTTCCACCATTGGGTCTGTTTAACTATCATGGGTAAGACAGTCATGATATATTCGGTTTTAAGCATCACATAATGTACAAAGTATGATTCAAAACTTCATATTGGGATTAGCAACATGCAAAAAGCTTCTCGATGAAAAGACTCCATGTATTTGGAAAAATAAATCTCCATCCTGTTTTTTATTTAATGTAATCCTTTTATACACACCAAAGTTTCTTCTGAAATTGTCCAAAATAAATGAGACTGAGACTGAAACGATAGCCCTATCTTGTTGTGTTTTGCCAAGCGTAAACTCAATGAAACAGGGGATCTGACCCAAAATGCAGACACCAAGACGGAGCAGGTACAGTCCATAACGTTTAATAAAGCTATGGTGAAAAAAATATAAATATTTTAATTTATAAATAAATAATAAATCAGGCAGTCCAAATGCAAAGTATCTCCACAATCCAGAAACCAACAGAAAAGCAGTGATCCAATAGACAAAAAAACAAAATCCATATTGGGAAAAAATCCATGCACAGGAAAAAGCTGGGGCACAGGATGAGTTACAAGGGATAATTTCAATCAACACTGAGAGGAAACAAAGTAAGACAAGACACAACAGGCAGAAAACTACAAAATAACACAGGAGAAAAGAATCAAGGGCAAAGAACAAGAATACAGACACAGGAAATGATTAGACACAGAGCGGATTAATGAAAATAAATACAACATAACAAAACCTAAACATAACACAGCTTTTCTGCCACAGCTGCAAGTAAAGTCTGAACCGCACATTTTGTTTTCAATGTGATTTCCTGAAAAAACGTGCTCATTTTGTAAATGAATCCTTAGTGTCTAAGTAGTTAATTAATGTCGCTCACTCACTCTCTGTCCGTCTCTCAGGTCTCTGTGTGTCGACGCTTTGATCGAGCTGTCGGATGAAAACGCAGACTGGAAGCTGAGTTTAACTGAGTTCATCAACTGCCTGACACCCACCTACCATCCATATGAGAGAAGTAATCACACACACACAAACTCAAACAAGAGTGTCATCGGTATGTATGATTGATCCTGACAAATGACATATTGACTTCTTTTTCCTAGGACCAAATAAAATGTAAACAGACATTAAATATATATACATATATATAAATATATAATCCCGTGCTGAATCTGACAAATACATTTAATTTTACAATAATTTTAATTTTTACACACACATTTTTCAGCACAAAACTCCAAACAAACAATGCTAAATCCTTTCAGACTGTGTTAGCAGTTTTTGCTGTTTTTCTTACATGCCCATTTACTACCTGTATATTATGTGTGTGCATGAAGAGTGTGCTCTGGAGGATGAAGTGTTCGAGGACGGAGCTGAGACTCAGATGGAGTGTAACAAGTGTGTGTGTGCCTGTGGAAACTGGGTCTGCACCGCTCTGACCTGCACCGGTGAGGACTTTAATTTGGATATTGTAATAATTTGGGTAGATACATTTGGCTGCTTCTAGATTTTAGAGAGTTTAGGTTTCCCTCACTGCTAGGCAGCTGGTGATATTTTTCTTTTTATCTTTGTAACATGGTCATCTGTGTTTCAGGAGAGCATCATGTAGAGGAGGATGTTAAAGAAGGAGAAGAAGAAGAAATGACAGAAGAAGAGTGGAGCAAAAGAGTGGCTGAACTCAGCACTTTACAGGTGGACAGTCAACACTGAACTGCTGCTGTGGTGGGAAGATGTAATCCATTATACAGTAGTCTCCTTTTCACTCATTACTCAAAGTACTCTCACTACATAATCCCGCCATAATCAACTTAATTTGGCCGCATACAATTTTACACACAGTGCAATGAATGCAGAATGTGTCCTCTGCATTTTCACCTCCTAATAAGGAGCTGCCTTTGCGCAGCGCCCGGGGAGCTGTTAGCGGTTCAGGGCCTTTCTCAGGGGCACCTTTAACAGTGTGCAACCGTGTGGTTCCCGAGCTAACTCCCCACAGACTGAGCTTATTCACCCAGCTGATGTACAAACGTGGCCCACAATTACACAAAACACAATTTATTTGTTTTATGCAAACAGCAGAACACATAAAAAAAACAGTTTATTTTGTACTTCCATTATCATCAGATAATATTGCAACTTAGGCAATAAATGAATAAAGCTCAGTAAACACATATTGTGCTGGATGATTACTTTTCTCAAGCAAGTTTAAGTCTCTGCAAGTTCAGACTTCATTAAAAAAAAGTTTCTGCCTGGAGAAAACCCATATTTGGTACTTTGAAAAGTGGTCCGCAGTTATATAAAACATAAAGTGTATTCATTGAGTGACACGGATCCTTTTAATCTTAAGTACAGAGGTAGAGTAGAGGTAACCCTATCTTCCTGACAACATTTTTATAGTTTCACCACATCTCATATGAATCTACTTTACACAACAGTTTGCTTTCTATATTGTCATAATAGGAGTTTGATTTAGGGTTAATTGTTTAATTGTTAATGAGATATTATATTTAGGGTATCCAGGTTTTGAAGTTAATGTTTTTTTACACTGTTGCTTTAATAAACACAACTATTGTACAACAAAGTATTTGTGAAATCCTGACTTTAATATCAAAAGGGAAGCTGCTACATGAATTTAATAAGATTATTAATTTATTGTTTAACCCATTGTATATGTAGAAGTATTAAATAATAATAAACAATCAAATAAATACATAATGCATTACAGTAAATAAGAACAGCATAATCACCGTAGTACACAGAAGTTACAGTTGCTGACAAACAACAGAGAAGTTAATTTTTTTTATTTTAGAGAGTCCAAGAGTGAAAATAAAGTAAAACTTTCCAAAAAACAGTGAAATATTTAATCATCAATAAGGTCTCCAGACAGGCTCTTCCCCTCTTATGGAAAGACACGCCCCTTCAATATAATTAGTCAGTGCTGCGACAACATTGCGGTCCTCCCCTGTTGTTTGGAGCTGTTGGTTCGGTCCGTAGTAGAAGCTGCCCGGCTGGAACGGACCACTGTGGCTCAGCGGAGGGGGAGGAGGAGGAGGAGGAGGAGCAGCAGAAGACAGGTAGGAGCTGTAGGGTGTGTGCTGGGTGGAGTAGGAGAGCGCAGGCAGGTGGTGCATTCTGGGACTTGGAGTGAAGGAGGAAGTCAACGAGTTCACCTGGCCCAGGAACGTAGAATCGTTGGTCCACAGGGTGGAGGAAAAGGACCTACAATCTGGAGAGAGACAACATCAACAGCATGACAGTCCATTCTTGACCTTTGACTAAAATGAACTTACTTTAAGGACTGCTGTTTTTTTCCAGAGCTTTCAACTACATCAAATGGTCTTCAGCAGATGGAGTTAGTCCAATTTCTTTGTTACCCATCGTTATAACAGCTGAACACGTGAGATGCGGTCGAAAGGTCAGGCAAAAAGCTAAGTGGACCTTGAATTTTATTTGTTGAGCACATTTGTTTTCCATTATTTTCTACTTTAGTTGGTTGCTATTTAAAATAAATTGCTGCTATTATCAATTTTCCATTTCCTTCAGTCATAGTATGTATTTATTAAACTACTGTAGTGCAGTTTTGAGTTACTTTATGAGGTATTTTCTGTTATTTCACTCTTTGTACTTGGAAATATAGTGTGTTCTGCTCTGTTTGATAAAAAAATAAAGGTTGAAACATGCTTCTGTGGAGACACTACACATGTGCACACTGTTCCATATTTGCAGTCCTGTATGTGAAAGTTCACACTGACATGGTTTGTCGGGATTTAAATACCGTCCCTCTTCTCATACCTGATGATGCAGTGCCGCTGCAGGATGACCTGAACACTCCTGACTTCACCTCCTTCTGCCTCTGCCCTGAGAGAGAGAGAGAGAGAGAGACAGGGAAGAAGATGGTACTTCTGACTGAAAGCTTGGATAAACCCATCCTATCATTTTCTCTGGTGTGCACTGACGTCTTGGCAGCCGCTGTCCGTCCACAGTCACCTTGATGGCTCTGTGTAAGGTGGCGATTTGAGGAGGCGAGGTCAGCACATTGATGGAGAGCGTGAAACTCTTGCCTAAAAAGAATAACACACACACACAACAATATAATTACATAGGGTGGCTTGTTATGGTAAGTGTAACAGGCTGTTTAAAGTTAAATCAAGTCAGTTTTCCCTAAGTATAGAGGGTGTCAAATGTTGGAAAAAATTTACTGCAATGGAGGAGAAACTTTTAATTTTAGATTATATAAATAAACTTGACTGATGGTCACAAGATTGATACTAATAAATTTCTGATTGAATAGGACAAGCATTCCTGTCTTCCTTCTGTTTATCCTTCTACATTTACATTAATTATTTGCTTTTATTCAAAGCGACTTACATTTGAGGAACAACAAACAAACATCAGTACAGTAAGAGATCTGAGAGCAACAATAGATACTAGTAAAAGCTATTAGTGCATCAATGGGGTAAATACCTAGGGGAAGAAGTAAGAGTTAACAATGGTGCAATCAATGCTAGATAATTGTAAGGAGACAGAAGAAAAGGAGCACAGGAAGTGCATGTTAGAGGTGTTGTAAGAGAAAGTGGCAAACGTCTAATGGCACATCCCACCATATTGGAGAGAAGATCAAGACAAAATGCCTAATTTATGTGTGAGGGAAGACATTTCAATTACAAAAGGTCAAAATCAATGGGGTAGCTACTGTTTTTCTTCAATGTGTTGACCCTCCAGTGTGACTCGAACCTCATAACCGGCCACTTTGCAGCGCCCCATCACAAGCTTCTGATACTCTGTTTATGTATTTAATTATTGTATCAGTAGTGTATCTGTCTATTTACCTCTCCCGCTGCGACCTATGAAGCGGAGGTCATTAAAGTGGGCGTAGCCTTGCTTCATGGTTGCTGTGGCGTTGCGTAGCTCAGCGCTGCTATTTTCTTCATTGCCAGCCATCACTGTGACAGCAACGCCGTCTGGCACGTCATTGCCTAGGGCGACAACCTGGAGGATGGAAAAAAGTCAGGACTGGTCCTTTAACTTTGAAAAAGGGGATTTGTAAAGAGTCTGAGGAAAATGGTCAGCCTGGAAGGATCAGGGCAAAATGTCCCACTGACCTCTGATGACCTTTGACATTATAAACTGAAGCCAGTCTCAATGAGAGATGGGAGATAGATAGATAGATAGATGCTCACAGTGAAGGTTCTCGGCAGGGTCTTGTTACACCTCCAGTGCTGCGGCAGGCCACTGCAGAGGAAGTTTGGGCTGTCGGTCTGTACCAGGCCTCTGGGTGGTGCTGTGCTGCGCTGGTCCTCCAGTTGGCGGCCGGTGGGTGATGTTGCTGGCCGACGTTTTAAAACAGGATCTGAGAGGGAACAATAGAAAGATTTTTCTACCTTTGTCTTTCATTTTTTTTGCTCAGTCCTCTGAAATGGCAGCCAGATATCTGTCTTTAATGTGTCTGTTTCTAAATCTAAATTCATGTAGTAGACCATAACTGTATAAAGACATGATACAAATTAATTAATTAAAAAAAACCTGCATTCACACACTAATCTTTGTAATCCAGCAATAAAAAAGCTTGAAGGTGAATGAAGGAAGGCAGAGGAAAAAGAATAAGACGTCTGCTTTGTAGGCTATATCTTACTTTTCCAAGCCAGACTATGCACAGTTCCCAATGACGATGGTTTACCATAAACCTTAAATGTTTAACTTAGATATCAAACTTTCTTTTGAATCAGTGATCTAATGGTGAAATATTTTCCCTCACTGTGGTCTGACACATCTTTCCCTGTAGGGACTAAAACTCAGCTTTTAACCTGATATTAAGGTCAAGCAAGACTTCATCAGTGCTGCTACCACCTTTATTAAGAAAAAGATAATTTAATTCATAGGTTTAAATACATGTTAAAAATGTATGTCTGTGAAATATGACTTGAATTGCAATTCCTCAGTCTAAAACCACGTTGGTAAGAAGTCTTTTGCTTTTTTAAAACTGGTATTTAACAATTAAGCCTAGTTGAAATATTTAATTAGCCTAGCATGCTGGTACCCTCCTCCTTGCTTGCTAATTTGGACAAAGTTGCAGCAAAGTGTTGTTCCCCTTGTTCACCACTAATTATAGCTCATCCCTCGTCCAGCTGGTGTTTTCTCAATAAATAAATAAATAAATAAAACCTTTAAGAGTTTCAACAACCGTGGGGAAACTGAGAGGACGTTTCATGACCAGAAAGTGTAGAAAACTACAACTACCAAAAAACACCCCGCACTTTCTGAGCCGATTTACGTCATCAAATCGCGCCGAAAAACACCCAGAAAAGTGTAAACAACAGGAGCAGCAGCAGCGTTTTTCTTGAACGACTTTGGTGAGGATTTTAAACTCTCTCTCCGCCTCTCTGGTTCTCTGTTGCTCCTCTCGTTTTCTGCATTGTGTTTTTCTCACCGCAGTGTTTGAATAGGAGGGAACTGCGCTGTATTGTCATTCAGATTTTACTGGCGGAGGGGAAGTTACTGCGGTCACACCACCTGTTCCCTCTGTACATATGTGTGTATATATATTTGTGTGTGTTGATTTGCTTCATGTCTGTTCTGCTATATTGTTATTTTAGGCTCTCGGCTTCTGTTCTGTCCTACACAGCTGACTAGTTTTGTTTTGGTTAAATGATCCCAAAAGCCCAAAATGCACATTACAGACTGCATTTTGAACAGTGATTGTGTCTTTTTGTTGGATTTCACATCTTAAAGATTTTTAACACTCAGACCACCAGTTGTCAGTCTAATAAGAGCACCAAGCTTAACCAAAACCACTTTAATAAACTTGTTCATAAAGGTTATAATGTTCGTTTTTACTGAACAATGCAGTACACGTCAACAGCACCACAAACCACAGTCTGCAGTATGACTAGCTGAATCAGCACCTCTAAAAGTGGTTGTTGGTAAGAGGAGGTAGGATTTTTGATGGCACAGCAGATAAGACATGTGCCTTTGGTGAGGGAGACACTTAAACCCTAGTTGCTCCAGAGGCGTGCGACCTCTTACATAAATATATAGTAACTGTAAGTTGCTTTGGATAAAAGCATCAGTTAATGTAATGAGTTCTCGCATGACTAATGCATTGACTGTATTAATTTTAGCTATTTGGACCCTAATAAACCAGCAATTGAGTGTATGTCTGCCCAAAATACCAAGTATGAATATTAATTAGTTTCAAACTATTTTGTCCTCCACATTGTAGGAATTGTATTTGGCTTTACAACACAGCTTTAAAACAACAGAAGACAACTGAACAACATGATTTTAAACATTAATAAAGTAAAGAATTAAAAAGGCTTGGGTCTGTGTTCTTATTGCATTAGGTAAGGATGACTTACAGAATTGGATTAATTGAGGCTTTAAAGGTGGAAATCAGGTCGTCACAGCAGCAGAAGATGTGACAATGAGACACTTGCAATGACTAAATATTTACTAGATGATGCAGGTTTACAGGTTGGATAAGTTGTGCAGCATCTTTGTTATCTGCCGGGAGAAAAGTGTTTCCAGAGGTCAAATATCAATCTTGACGTTATTTAACGTTGTGATATACAACACATGCTATCTG